ATCATAATCACACACTCAGTTTCTCTGAGCTTCAGGGCAAAGTATTAAGTTCTTTGGATAAATGAGATGCTTCCTACTTTTTCTGGTTCTTCTTGACTTCTAGCTCAGAGTTTCCACATATATTTATTACTTTCCATTTTGTTAAAAATTTAAGAACTTTAAAAAACATTGTGTTTTTAAATGATGTGTCTATGTGTGGGTATGTGTACATGAGTGCAGGGACCAGTGGAGACCTGAGGCCCTGGATTCCCCTGGAGCTGAAGTTCCAGGCAGTTGTGTGTCACGAGATGTGATAGCTGTGCACTCAAATCATTGTCTCCAAGAGCAATATGTGCTCTTACCTGCTGAGTCCGCTCTCTAGCCCATATATACATTAAGGAAGCATTGTATATGAGACTGTTAGAAGAGAAAATCCTATTGATAAAATAATGAGGTTTTGTAAAAGCTGTGTCCAAAATAACTTAGTATTATTACCTAAGTCTCTATCTTGTAATCAGAGTAAACATGGCAGACTTAACAGCGGCACACAGATCATAAGCCCAACTTTACAACCTAACATTTTGTGATGTTTGTGTTCTGATCAGTAAATAAGTCCACTGTGTGTATTCTCCAGAGGGCTAATCTGTGTCGCAGCTTTCCTCACTTGTGCTGATCTGTCTAGTCAACACAGTTAAATACACAAATTAGCCAATGAGGGCAATGTGTCAAGCATAAAATAATCTGTTAAAAATAATTGTGTTTATTAGTGTCTATGCATTTCTAGAATTCTTACACCGTTATCAAAATTCTAGGACACATATTTAATACTGGGCAGCTCCTCTTATTTCTGAGTGAGGTAAAAAATCTCTCTATAATTCTTTTTCAGTTCATGTTTTTTAAGAAGACATTTTTTTTCCTCAGGAGAACAGGAGCAGCCCCCCACTCTCACCCCATGAATGCTTGTTTAGATGTGTGCTTTTGGGCAGAAGTGTCAACACTAGGAAAGCTTAAGAGTAATAAAAATCATAATTGATTGGCAAGGTCTCTCAGCATGGATTAAACAAAACCACGCTGTTCTCCTTGCAAAACATTCTAAATCATTTAGTTCTTAAAAACCTAGAAGAAAATCTCCAAGCAGCATTTTAAGCTTAGCCCTATTCATACACCAAAGGCTTCTGTTTAGACGGGGAAACACAGATTAAGACCCTCTGTATTGCAGGACTCTGGGCTAGCAGCAGGAAGGCTCAGCAGGAAGAAGGCCAGAAGAAGCTGAGAGGGCAGCACCTGCTTCCAACTTGGGCCCTCACCTCCAGACCTGGTAAGGCTACTCACTTCCTCTGACTGTCTCTCTCTGTGAACTAAGTCAAAGAATCATTTCTTATCTTCCATTCTTCAAGTCAAAATGACTCAGGCTTAAAGTGTTGCAGAGTACCATGAAAGACTTTTGGAAGAATCTCAAAACCTCACCATCACGCGGACTGCACTAAAGATGATTCTGTAAACTGCCCTAATATTAAAATTCAACCCCATGCACCTTAGTCTATCGCTACACACTCCAAATACTCGCTTTTTACACTCATTCTCTAAACCTATCCCTTCAAAAACACACCTATCAAAGTTTTAACAAACAAGGAAGCAAAATGAAGTCGTTTTTCCTCCTCTCTTGGAGTTAGCTTTATCTTTATTCCATTTGGACAGTCATTAAGATTGAAGTCTTCCGCCAGGCATGTTGGCACACATCTTTGATCCAAGCACTAGCGAGGCAGAGATAGGTAGATCTCTGTGAGTTCGAGGTCATCCTGATCTACAAAGTGAGTTCCAGGGCTACAGAGAGAAACCCTGTCTTGAAAAACCAAAACTCAAACCAAACAAACAAACAAACAAACAAAAAGATTAAATTCTTCTATCCTTACTGTAAATTTAGTAATTACTAATTTGAAGATAGTTTAAGTTAAACTGATCATAAACTGCCTGAAAAAATGCATACAGTATTTTATATTCTAAGGCATCCTACATCTGTATGTTTCATAGTAGTACCAATGACTAATGATAGCTCAACAATAGTCTTAGAAATTCTAAGCTTGAAAATATCAATCTAGTTTTTTTTTTAATTTTGTAGTTATTTAAAGCCCTGAACTTTAACACCTGCTTGTGTGTGTTGACTGTGGGCTAGAGAAAACAACGGAGACTTTTTTAAATGCCAAACTGAACAGATCAAAACAATGTTTTCTTGTACAAGAGCTCATGAGGGCCCTGAAGTGATATTTAACATGTAACTATTGTAACTAGTGAACTAAGTTAGTAGCTATACACACTTTATGAACTAAATAAGACACTGTAAAATGTGCTAAAGAGAAGGGGCAGTGCTTTTCTCACGTTGGTGTAGTCTAGCAATACCGTGAACTTATTTTCTTATGTTAGAATTATAGGCAATATCGATGGGCACGGCCTCCACTCACGACTTTCTCATTAAGAAAAGGTGTATCAAGAAAGGACACCTTGCTACCCAGATTCTGGATAGTGTGTATCTCTCCTTTAAAAACATGTAACTGTTGGAAGTGGATCCACCTAAAGAAGTTGAGGGAAATCTTAAGACTCTACCAAATACCTCTCAGAAAGGTCTCCGTGTTTATATGCTGTGTTGATTGTTTTGGTTTTTTAACTTTCTGCAGGGCAGGTCCTGATATAACAGTGTGTGTGTGTTCTTGTACCTCAAGCAAGGTCACAGGGGCTTGGAAAAGGCCCCTGCTGTCCTTCTTTCCTTCCCCCTACTCTGTCTGCATGGTTTTGGGTCATTCAAAAAACAGCGGAGCCTGTGTTACCTGTATTTCCCTGGCGTGGTACACGATGATCAGACCGAGCAGGATGATCGTGGAGAGACTGATAAGGCATTTCAGAGCTAATGAATACAGCGACGCCTGCAACACAGTTAGATGGAACACTTTAAGAAAGAAGCACTTTTCAACCACCTTCCAGGTCATGGGAGTCAGCTCCGAGCACGTGGACCTGAACTCAAGGTAGGGGACGCGGGTGGGGGGGGCAATCTGCCTTGGCTCTGAGATACAGATTATCTGACCTCAAAGCCAAGTGAGAGGAGCCAGGAACAAGGGAAACCTCAGAGCTCGGTTGCGGGGTCGGCACCCTCAAGGACTAAAACAAGGCACCTGACTCGCTAAAGGCTAGAGAAGTTTATCCGGAGTTTAAGCGCTTTAGGTTGAAAGGTGCCTCCGAAACTTGAGCACCAGTAGAGGAACACGCATGCTTTCCCTACCGACTCCAGGAGCCACTTATTAACAAGCCTGGATGCGGTGGACTCTCAGCACCCGGAGAACTTTCCTCTCCGAGTTGCCCAGCAGACTATGGCTGTGCGTCCTAGCTGCTTCTGCTGCTCCGATGGGCACTCTGATGTTACCGGGGACACTTGCGACCCGGTAGGCAGGGGGTTCCCGACGGCTCCCATCCCTACTACCTGGCTCCCACTCTGGGAGGGTACTCAGGGGCTAAAGCCCGTACCTTGTCGTAGGCGCCCCACGACAGCTCGGTCTCGATGACCATGACCACGATGCCGAACATGCCGAAGATGAGCGCATAGTCGCTGAGCCGCTTGCGCTTCTCAAACAGGGCGCGCCGGTGGCCCAGCTTGTAGCCGATGTTCTGGTTCTTCTTTTTGCTGGACTTGGTACCGCTGCTGCTGCCATGCCCGCTGCCGCCGCCGCCGCCGCCGCCTCCGGTGCTGCCTCCGCCGCCAGTCCCGTAGAGCGCCAGGTTGTTGGAATTGTTATGCTCCGGCTTAGACACCACGATCTCCGGGGCTGAGGAAGAGGCGGCGGCGGCAGCAGACGGGGAGGACGCGCCACCGCCTCCTCCTACGGACGCGGGGGGCTGCAGGGGCTGAGCCTCGGAGTCCATCTCGTGCAGGTTCCGGCGGGACGAGCTCAAGTTGCTGAGCGGACGCATGACGCCCCCGTTGTACCTGCAGCTGCTCATGGCTATTTCGGTGAAGGGGTTGCTCTCGCGGCGCGCCTGGGGTTGGTGATGCTGGTGGTGCGCCGGGTGCGGGTGGTGGTGGTGGTGCGAGAGCGGGGGCCCGGAGCCCAGGCTGCCCAGGCTGCCTGTGGGGCTGGCGGCGGGCTGCAGGCTGTGGCACTGGTGGTACTGGGAGGCGGACGCGGGCTGCTGCGCGTACTGCTGCCGGAGCGCACTGGCATGGCTGGACGGCGTCAGCTCGCTCACATTGAGCTGGCTGCCCCGGCGCGACGAGCAGCAGCAGCAGCACGAAGAGCCCGACAGCGGCGAAGAGGTGCGGGTCCGGAAGGCGCCGCCGGGCGAGGAGGTGCGGAGCAGCAGGGACAGGTTATCCCCCGCCCCCGCCCCCGCCGCTGGGGCACCGGAGGAGGCGCAGCTGTTGCACCGGAGGCATGGGCTGCTGCCACCGCTGCCCGGCTGCTGGTGTGCGAGGTGCGGTTGGTGGTGAGGGTGCGGGAGGGGCGCGAAGGGCGCGCACGGCTTGTCCTGGCTCTGTTGCTGCTGCTGGCAATGCAGGTGTGAGGAGCGCGGCGGTGGCGGCGGCTGCTCTGGGAAGAAGCCGTGCTGGAACTGCAATGGGGTTTCCATGTCAGGGCTGTTAAAGCTGCAGGGAGACCAGGCGGTGGTGCACCCTGCGCAATGCGTTATGGTCGGGAGCGGGGACTCCTGCTGCTGGTGCGAGGAAGGGCCCATGCCGGCTCCGGTAGAATCCAGGCGGCGAGTCCGATTGGTTGGGCGCACCAAAACAATGGGCATGACATCACCTGCGGGGACCGAGACTGAGTTTGCGGCGCGCGCGGCTTAGGGGAACCTTATGTGTGTGAGAGAGTGGTTGGGAGGGGAATCTGCAGAATGAAAACCCCGGGGGGCACAGGCCAGCTCCGGCTGGGGTGAGGACACTCGAGGGCAGGGATTCCACCTGCGGATCGCGTGCGTCCGAGACCATGGCTGGGAAGACTGAGCTCCCCCACGCATAGCGGCTGGCTGCAGAGGTGGGAGAGCGATGCTTCTCGCTCTACTGTCTCGGCCCCCGGTCTGGTGCGGGACACGTTAGCCCAAATGACCTGCCTGGGGCACTGCAGCACGTTTGGCCACTCTGGTCATGGGGCAGGCGCCAGTACGGTGCGAAACCCGAGCCACTCTCCCGCCCTCTCGCCTTGTAGGGCTGCGAGACAGCACCTGCTAGCCCCACTCCCTCTCCCCGGATCATCCTGCCGAGAGTGGGCTGCAGGCTGCTGGCCAAGTAACTGCGGGGGCAAGGCTTTGGGTAAGGGGTAAAAAAAAATAAAAAATAAAAAGTTTGGCGACTGCCTATGTGAATGCATCAGCGTTGGAAGAAAGCCAGCGCCGGATGCCCGACTTGGCCTCTGAGGGATCATATCCAACCCCTAGCAGGGATCTGTCCCTGTCGGCTAGCTCACAGAGTCCCAGAATTGGGACTGGCGGCGATGTCTCTCTTAGAGGAGAGCATTGAGGCGCGGATAGGGTTAACCTCGCGACGCCCGGGCAGGGGGAGGAGGGGGCGGGGCCGAAGGAGGGGATCCCCGGCGTCCGGGGAGGAGCCCGCTCGGGTTTCCCGGGTCCCCCTGGCGGGGGCGGAGGGCTTTCCCCACTAGCGCCAGCTCACATTTGCTCGTTCTCCGGAACATGAGGGGCTAGCGCCCCTGGCCGCCGGGTCCGGGGCTCGGGCGCTCAGGCAGTCCAGCAGCCTGAGTGGGTAGGTCCGAAGGCTACCTTGGTGCTGCAGACGAGCCTTGTTCCAGGGTCTGGGGGCTGCTCAGCCACCGCAGACCGCCAGCTTCTCTGATTTTCCTCTTCCTCCAGACCTGCAGCACAGACACAAAGCAAAGGCGGGTCACTAATGCGCAGACGCCAAGCATCTTCCTTGTCGTGACCAGACTGCAGCGGCTGGGCGAGGGGGCTGGTGAAGGTTGATTGATGCTGGTAGCCATCTAACTGCCAATTAATGCCCTGGTGGTGATTCGACTGAATAATCGCTGCCCTTGGACATGGAGTTTCACTAGACTTAGATATAATGAATAATTATACTCTCTAATAAACCAGTAAAGTTGCACTTTGAATTTTGCCATGGTGTGTCCTTATTGAGCTGTACACAAACAAAACGGTAGGAGGTCTTTTGAGGGCTCTTGATTAATACTCCATCATTAACGCTAACATTTGTATTTCTTTGTAAACTGAAATTCCTGTCGTCCTAAAAGAAAGAAAAAGATGAAATTGGCCAATTAGATATTTCAGTTTTAAATTGTGATTTCAATAGTTTTTATGGTGGAGATTGCTAACAGATTAGATCAAGACATTAAAGCGAAAGCGGATCGCTCTCATTAGGTAATTGGAATTCTCAGCTGGATCCAGTTTCTTGACATTCTACTCAGCAGCTGCCCTAAAGTTGCTTACCAGGTATCGGCTTGAAAGTGTGTGTGTTTGTGCCCAGTGCCATTGAGTGAATAATTTATTTCTGGATATTCTTTGCAAGTGTGTTAAGCAGTTGGGAATTTTCGTGCACACAAGCAAATAGATTAAGAAGGAAAAGGGATAGAATTGCATTTAGAACTATAATCTTTGACAGGAGATAATGAATAATTGGGGATTGAATTTCTTAATAATCTAGGTTAGGAATTGAATTTTAGTGGCTAAAAAAATCAAAGGCATTAGTCTTATTATCTAGTGTGATTATTTTTGTTTTTTTTATCTCCAAAGTGGGAAACAAATAGTATTTAGAATGAAGAGATTTGTTGAATTTTGAGGTCAGCTGGAAGTGCACAAATGCACTTGTGAGGGGCATTACTACAGAAAATAATTCCAGCGAAAGAAGGGTGTGGTTGTACATGCCCGAGACCCTACACTTGGGAGATGGAGGCAGCAGGAACAGAGTTCAAAGCCATCCTCACACACAGAGGGGGTCTGAAGCTAGGTTTGGTGACACATACACAGAAGTACGTTGAATTTAAAGTGAAAGCTTCCATTTATTCACCCTTTATGTGAAAAAAATTTAACTCAAGCATAAAATCCACCCAATATGTATTAGTGCACTTTGCCACAAATTTTACAGGCTTCTTTTTCATTGCTCTTCGTAGATGACTGATTGAAACATTTGACTAGTCTTTATCTCTAAATACTTCAAAGAAGTATATCAAAATTTAATATGTTCATCGCCTGCTCATAAATTTAAAAGAGATTTCATAGATATCTCCCCAAATATCACAATAGCTGTTACTCATTTGAAATTTTAAGGTTCTAGACTTATTAAAATGTCATAAGGAAAACAAAAGCTGCATCCCCGTGTGTTCAGCGTAAGCTGACTTTCTCAAAGACCACACTGAAAGCTTCTCAAAGGCTTCAGAAACAAAAGGGTAAGCAATATTGAACTTGTGCTTTCTCTCCCTGCCCCCTCCTCGTGTGTGAGCGTAGAATTTGGTTTGGAGTAGGTTACTGAGACATGGAGTCCTCACTTTTCTCAAAGAAGATGTGCAAATTTAAAACAAAAAAAAAAAAAATGAGGAACCTCAGGAACACCAAAACTAAGATCGACGTACTTCAGCATGGTCAATATAAGAGTTCATAAAATAGTAACATTAATGTCACTGTGCGTAGAGAGATGGAGAGCAGGCCCATGGGACACTCACTATCCTTCCATCAGAGTAAGCTGATCACAGTTGATGATACCTTGCTAATACATGCCTTTGTCTGAAACAGACTGGAAGTCCTGGTGAAAACCATGGACTTACAAACGCAAGAGCTGTCGCATCTTTAGATGCCTGAATCCCTTTGATAATTGCTATAAGTCACGACAGGTGTCAAATGAAGACATCCTTGTTATCAGTGTTTCTCTGGTAGACGACTTTTTAAAGTTCACATGCAGACGTTAAAAATACAGTTACTCTGACTTCGTGGGTACCTTTTCCTGATAGCGGTGGTTCTTAGCTTGTGGGTCTTGACTCCCAAAGACCATTGGAAGACACAGATATTTACATTATGATTCATAGCAATAGCAAAATAACCGTTATGAAGTAGCAACAAAAATAATCGTATGGTTGGGGTCTCTATAACTGTATTAAAGGGTCGCAGCATTAGGAAGGTTGAGAAGCACTGCTCTATAGGAGCAAAGGGAAGCAGTTAAAGCAGACAGACAGTACTTTTGATGTGGATGATCTTTTGCACTCACACCTGCGAGTGAGAGGGAAAGGAGGGAGGGAGGAAAAAGAGGGATACCTAAGGCAGAGATCTGTGGTCTCCACTGAGAAGCTTTCACAGTTAGATTTCTTCCCCTTCCTTCCATTATGCAAGCAAGTGCTGGAATTCCCCTAGATTAACACCAGAGGTCATAGTCACCCACAAAATGCACTTGCAATCTAATCAATTAAATAGCGTCTCTCCTTTAGCTTCCTTTCTTTTCCTTTTTTGACTATAATCTCTTTTTTCTTATGCCCTCTTGGAGTGTTTTTTTTTCTATATTTGTTGTATGTCAAGATTGTAGACAGGCACACACACTAACATAACAAAGTCCTAAACACACAGTCATAGAATGGGTTTCCCCAGCCACAAACACCTAATTCTAAAAGATTCAAGTTGGTTTTACTCCAGTCTTAATATATTCAAATTCCTGTTATGTTCATTTTTTGCTATTTTCCTCTATATAGGATTTGTCTGTACTTTCTTGTTCATTGTTCATTAAAATGTAGGACTCTCTTGACCTACATATTTGGTGTTTATTTCCAACAGGCGACCAAAACAAGAGAATATAACATCAGTTTCCGACACTGCATGCTCGGAACAGAACTTTGAACGGAAAAGTGAACATTTTTGTGAATTATTTCTGTATTGCCCGACTGAGTCAATTACTTGATAGTACTGAACCCAAAGGCTATGATGCGATGCTGCCTCTCTGAACTCACTTTTCTTAGCAATAGATTGCGGGGAATGAGGACGGCAGCAGCTGTTTACTTAGTACGGCTCAGTTTTCCTAAAAGGTAACAATTCAAAGGTCCACAAAAGTGTTATTTTAAATCATAAATTCCCTAGTTTCACAATTAATACATTGTATTTGAGGCAAACACTAAAATTTATGTTTGATGCATGTACACATGCCTGAATCATGATGATAAAATATTAATAACGAACTTTACAAAGACTAATAAATCATGTTGGGCCATAGCCATTAATTTAATTAACTCTTTTAATGATTTTTTTATTCTTTTCAATGTCTTCCTACTATTTCTCAACTTATTAACCTATCTACAAAAGTCCCCACAACGCTAGCAGAAGACAAAAGGTAAAATATTAATCTTGCCTGCAGAATTGAACTCGGGTTACTTATAAATGGATGAAAAGGCTGAACTTATTGTGGATTTCTTAATTATATTTCTCCTTGCCATTAGAAACAGAGAAAGGGGGAGGGGGCTAGAAAGGGGGTATCACTGCTTGAAGCCCAGTGGCTTGTACAAAATTGTTTCCTATGTACTGTTTTATTTGTATTTCACAAAAACCCAGGGAGAAGTCAGAGGTTTTATTGTTGTCTTCATTTTGCAGATAAGGAGATCACCTGAGATAGTGTCTGCCCTGCCCAGGTGACACTGTCGAGCAGCAAAGAAAAGCCAGGTCGCTTAACAGTCTTTGGGTCTGTGTGGTTGTCATTTTCACATTGTAGGGGCTTTGCTCCACCGCAGAATAAACACATGGGTTGCATCAACTTACTCAATAAAGATAGTGGTGCTTCTGAACGTTTTCTCACTGGCTCTTTTGTTTCCTGTGATCTTTATCCTCTTGTTGGCTTCATTTGATCAATGAGATAATTTGAGAGAATTTAATCTAAGTGTGGAGGAAATGGAAGTACTTTATGCCTGCTGGTCTTGGGGCCTAATTAAAAATATATTATATTGAGAGATACAGGAATAGAAATGTTTTTCTTTTTAAACAAACAACAACATGAATCTGGTATGTTCAGTTATACTCCATACTCTTTCAGGAACTTTACTGCCATTCGGGGCATTCATTATTCGTGGCTACATCCAGCAAAAGACTAAAAGATCAGTGAGAGTGTTTCCTGCAACTATGTAGTGTTATTTTGCCTGTTGTTATACAGATGAAAAAGAGGAGGCTCTTGGCCTTGTGACTCAAAGGACTTGCCCTATTGTCATGCTTGGATCCACCTCCTATCATTCTTGCTTCCCTTCATGGCAAATTAATGAAAACCAGAGAAATGAGCAAGACGTTACATGACAAGGAGAGACCCGCGTGTCTCCCAGATGGGGTAGAGAGCCAGCAAAGTGGAATCAAAGATCAACATTTTAAAGTAGCTCTAAATACTGAAGGCACATTAAGTCTCCTCCACCTTTTTCTTGAACACAGCCCTACAGATTAAGTCACCTCATGCTATTCAGTAACTCTAGATGTGTCTGCTTTCTCTTTCCTTATTTCCCTTTCATGTATTGAGCTTATACAAATTCCCGGATCCTCTTTCTTTATATTTATCTCCCTTTCTGCAATTATTTACAAACTTCCATAATTGTCTTAGCAAAGGAGAGGGTTGATGCCTTTCTAGTGCTGCTATTAAGAAGGAAAAGAACCATGGTTTTTAACATTAAATGCTATGGAACTATGTCACCAGGAGGAAAGCTCTGATGCTAACACTTGTTCAGGTTCCAGACCCAATCCTCATCTGCAGAGCCAGATTCTTCTTTAAAATGGCTTCTATTTAATTCTGTTGTTGTTTTATGGGTGTAAAAGTGTGAATGAAAAATAAATAAGAAAGAAAGGATGTAGTAATTTGAATGTGATTGGTCCACCTAATCTCATAGGGACTGGCACTGTTAGGAGCTATGGCTTTGGTGGAGTGGGTATGGTCTTTTTGTAGGAAGTGGGTCACTGTGGGGGTGGGCTTTGATATCGCCCAGTGAGTCAGTTTTCTGTTTTCATGAAAAGATTTCATGTTTTCTGCAAGATGTAGCAATCTCTACTCCAGTACCAAGTCTACCTGCATGCCACCATACTCCCTGTCATGATGATAATGGATTGAACCTCTGAAACTGTAAGCAAGTCACCCCAATTAAGTGTTTTTAAATAAGAGTT